TTTTTTGTTTTTAATTTTCGGTGGGGGCCGCCCAGAGTTCCCTCATTGGGGGGAGATGGGCGGGGGAGAAATTTAATAAATAAAATAAACATCTCACCAATCAAGCTCAGCCTATTGTGCAAATGCCCATGTTACATCTTTAATTTCTATCCTTAAGCATAAGCAAAGCCAATCTGCTTGGGGGGAGAGGGGGGCTAAGTGTTTCTCTCCCTGCCAAAGCTCAGGAGGATATCACAGCTCAGTTTGGCACATCAGGGTTCCCTCCATGGCTGAAGTGCTGTGAGCTGTGAGGCTATGTGCCTCCTCACCACAATGGAAGGGCACCTGAGAAAAAGGGAAATTTGAGTCCCCAATAGGTGTTCTTGGAGTAAAGGACTAATTGCTCCCACATTGCCTTATGCCATGTTCCTCAACCTTGGCAACTCTAAGATGGGTGGACTTCAACTCTCAGCATGCTGGCTGGGGAATTCTGGGAGTTGAAGTCCACCCACCTTAAAGTTGCCAAGGTTGAGAAGCACTGCCTTGTGCCATGATGATTGGGTTTGTTTTGTATTTGGCTGAAATTGTGATGCGGCTGAGTTGGAAGAATATAGTATATTCCTTTACTGTGTTGTACAAGCTGAAATAGTTGTGGATTTAGATGATCAATAAACCATGGTTAAGACAGCCATGGCTTAGCATGATATGAGAGCCAGTGGGAGGTGAGCCTGTAGTTGAGGTACTGACCTGGACCAAGGAGATCCTAATTCAAGTGACTGAGGAATTCACTGGGTGATTTCTGTCTCCCAGGATAACTGACCTCACAGGTTATTGAAGTGGGGATAGAGAGACTCCCATGTAAATCTTTGAAAAGTTAGAGAAAAAATGGGTATCAGTGAAATAAATCAATATATAAATGTTAACTTAAATTCATCATAAATCCTTGGGCATGTAATGGTAAATAAATGGTGACTTAAACTACTATACAATTTAAGTACAACTACAAAACTATATAACTACTGTATATAGGAGGCTGGATTTTAACACTGTGCTGCACTAAGGTGATTTAGTAAAATACTTCTTACATGGCTGAATGTGACAAAGAACCAATATATCAAGATGGTATCCTTTGTCCATGCACACTAGAGTAAATTGCTACATGCCAAATGCTTGTTGATTTCATATAGCTTCAGTTTGTTATGTGAAAAGGCTGTAATAGCGACTTGCACTACACAGCATGGTTATGAAATCTTGGAAATGGAATGTGTTCTACACTGTCAAAGTAAACACAACTGTCGCAGTGTCCCTGCAGTCATGTGATAAAAATTTGGGCACTTGGCAACTGGCGTGTATTTACAACGGTTGCAGCGTTCCAGGGTCATGTGGTCACTTTTGTGACCTTCCCAGGAGGATTAAGCAAAGTCAATGGGGAAGCTGGATTTGCTTAATGACCATAGCAAAAAAGGTCATAAAATCAGGCACAACACTTAATGACCCCATCGCTTAGTGACCAAAGTTCTGGTCCCAATTGTGGTTGTAAGTCGAGGACTACCTGTATCCCTATTCCTTCCCTGGCAGTAGTCAAGATTCTGCTTATTGCTTGCTAGGTTCTACAAAGAGGTGCATACACAGAATCTAGATGGTTGAAGTTCCCCTGACCGGTTGCTCACAAAATGTGTTCAACTTCAGCTGAAGGCCATGCTGGCTTGGAATATATAAAGCCCAAAACTTAGGGAAAGCTGGCTTCAAATTTGAAGGCATTCTGAGATTTTTCACTTCTGCAGATTTGAAATACTGAGAAAAAAAAGTGAAAATTCCTGTTCTGCCCAAAGCTGGTGCAAGTTCTGCAACAGTAAAATCCCCTTATCTTCCCTCTATACAAAAATAATAGGAAAAATAAAGAAAAGCCCAGTAGCCTGTCACTTTGTAAACAGCTCCCTTGCACTGAAGAGAAAGATTCAGTCAATTAAGGAAAGGTAGTCTCCTTCCAGTCCATTCCCTCTTGTGAATTTCATTCCTGCTCATTATTTCTGGGACATTGCTGGGGACCTACAAAGCTACCAAGCTAGCATTTTCCTTGCATGACCTGAAGCTCATAGAGGGGACACATGAATCTGCTCTCAAGGGGGATCTCATGAAAGAAAACCAGCTCTACAGTTGTTTGCTTTCACTGAGGCTGAGCCAGAAACAAATCAACCAGTTCTCCAATATGTTGTGTTGCGGGAACACCGAGATCCAGACCTGCTTTCAGAACAGCATAGAAGCCTTGTGTAGAAGTGCTCTTTCTGTTAGAGTAGACAGAGCTTGGGATGGACAAATCCTTAGTCTCAAATACAGTAACATGCTATTGAATTCAGCTATATTGAGAGAATGTACACTGGAAAAGAGGAAGAGAAGTCATGATCGCCTTCTGTTTGGTTTGTCTACTATGGTGGAATGTCAGGTTAGATAGATTCTCTGTAAAACTAGTAGTCTACGAAGAAGGCTTTTGTTGCACATCATTTGAATTACTGATGGCTCCCTGATTTCACCATGCAAAATTTCCCAACATAGAAAGGATGGCTGACTGACAGCGCAGGATGCCAGAGAAATCAGCATCTTTCATCCACTCCTCTTCTCTTTTTCATACCAGGGAGAGATGGTTTGTGCTTGCTGCCCTCTGCTGACACAAGGGAGGCTCTCCAGATGAAACATCCATTCACATAATATATAATTTTATGTTGATATTATATCTTATTGATTATAGTTAACATTTTATACCAACATTTATTGATTAGTACAACAGTTTGGTAAATTATCTGGTTTCTCAAGTACCTGGCATCTTATACATCCTTTCATTTATAATATTTTTTGGGGGGGGGGTGCCTTCGAGATAGTGTTGACTCCTGACGACTGTCTGAACTAGTCCCTGCAGTTTTCTTGGCAAGGTTTTTCAGAAGTGGTTTGCCATTGCCTCCTTCCTAGGGCTGAGAGAGAGGGACTGGCCCAAGGTCACCTGGTTGGCTTCGTGCTTAAGGCAGGGCTAAAACCTATGGTCTCCTGGTGTCTAACCTGATACCTTAACAATTACTTCAAACTGGCGCTCTATCATATACAATATACTTAGAAAATAATGTAAACATTAGTGCTTCACTTGATATTTGAATTCTTTTACATAACTTGGGATAATTATTCTTTATTTGCAGAGAGAAATATTTCAAAATGTTTATCTCAGATTAATATTGATGTAAATAAAACAAACTTGTAATGAATTTATGGGGAAGGATAAATGTTGTAAAAATGAATTATTATTTCAGGATTGATATACAGTATACACCTGAGCAATTTCTTTTAAAGATTTGAAGCAGATTAAGAGGTGATTAAAGCTTCAGATGAAAAGGACAAGCCCCTAGATTTTCTTTATCTAAATTCAGTGTTTCTCAACCTCAGCAACTTTAAGATGTGTGGACTTTAACACCCAGAATTCTGTCTAAATTAACCTTACCATGTAATGATGGTGGTTGTGGAGTAACTTTCCTGATTTTCAGTGTTATCATTGGGCATACATTTTGAATAAAAGTGACTAAATCCAAAAAACATTATGATTATTATGTGACTCCTCTGATATCATGGCAGAAGCTCACTTCCTTTTTCAGTCAGGATTCCACTGTATTTTAGTATTAAAGCTGCATGGCATATTTGGAAGAATTCAGGATCAAAATAAAATTTAGACTCTTATTCATATGATAAAATTCACTTTGGGATAATCCCAGTCTGAAACTTGCATTTAAAAAAAATATTATTAACGGGCTAATTCTTTACTAAAGCATTTTTTGTTTTCATAGTTTGGGTGAAATGTGTTCTGGGTGATTCCAAATCTATTGTGTTTTTTTTTAAATAAATAATTAGAGTATTGTTAAGATAAATATTAGTTATTTGCAAGAACTTTGGAATAAGAGTTGGAATACCACATATTAACCCATTAGTAGCTAAGGGTCTTATAGAATATTAAGTATGTTTTTTATCTTCTTAAATGATATTAATTCAAAATGATTTTTTTCGTGTTGATTGGACACCTCGAGGAACATTTACAAAAGGATTTGCTGCCAACCTCATTATGCTGGAATTATACACTGATGAAAGAGACATGTATACATATATGAACTTGCCCCACTACTGTTTTGGTTTTATATCAATAATTTTGATAAAATGGTTTAGGAACAATAATGTGATTTAAATAAGTGAATATGATTCTG